CACCCATTACAGTAGTTTCCATTGTTTCTTCCATTATCACATTTTAACCCTAATATATACTCTTTACTATAGTAGCTTCCTATTCGGATTTCAGAACCGCTTGCCAAATTCCTCTGCCTAGGTCCTAGGCTTACAAGACGCAAGGATCCGTGGACTACCGCTGGCCCTCTCCCTAAGAGTGACGTCAAAATGGTGAAAATGGTCCATCCTCAATCCCAAAAAAAATTCCCAAGTCATGGACGCTTGTCGTTCCAAACCTCCGCAAACTATATGCTCAACCGCTCATCCCCACAGACACATACACAAACACGCATCTAATTTTCTTAGGTCCCGGATTGCAAAGACAAGCCTAGGACGGCAACCCAGCCAGATCAAAACCGCCCTTGACATCTCTTCATCGCCGTCGGGGCCCGCAGCTATGTTTGAGCCTATCTGTTTCCACCATCTCCTTCCACCCCTGCCCTGTTTGAATCCGCATACACACCCATGATCTTCTCTAAACCGTGTAACAGCAACAGACAGACACCAAAGCGTCCTACAAAAAACGTAAGCCCTACTCGCTAAACTATCCCTATGTAATCCCTATAAAATCTTTGTATAATCCCTATAATACCCCAATATACTACAGTAGTCTCCATGTTCTTTTCCATTATCCTTATATAACCCCTGCATTACCCCTATATAACCCCAATATTATATGGTATTGTCAATTTTCTTTTCCATTATCCCTATATAACCCCTAAATAACACTATAACACTATCTATATATATACACCCCAATATAATATAGTAGTTTCCATGTTCTTTCCCATTATCCCTATGTAACCCCTATATAACATTATATACATATAAAAAAATATATACTCCAATATATAATAGTTTCCATCTTCTTTTCCATCTTCCCTATATACCTTAGAATCCCTGGCCACCTCATCGATGGTGGCAAGCTCTGGAAGCAGTCGCCCAGATTCAGAGATCAGCTTGCAAAGGCCTGGACGGTTTCATCCCGTTACTCTTGTCCTTCCTATGCCTATCGCTGGATGATTGTTACACCCCTGAAATCCTACATACCGCTATTGACCTGGCTTTGATCTCTTCAGCCTCAGGCTTCATGAACCCCAAGTTGCAAGCACCTGTACAAAGCTCTCGCTCTGCGCGGCGCCGGAGGTCACCAACTGTCGACCCAGGCTCTGCATCCAGCACAACCTGTTGAAAGTTGCTTCTGAGAAAGGCTTACAGCCACTGCACTGCGGTACTTCCACAATAGAGATTACAACGAAAACGCCTAGCACAGTGACTACCATTGCTACCTCCCCATGCTCATGCTCATGCTCCTCCTCCTCTTGCTCTTCCTCCCCCACCTGCTGTGTCATCTCCTCCCTCTCGTACTCCTGCTGCTGCTACGGCTGCTACTACAGCAATGGTTGTGATGACGACCATGAGGACGCCAAGCAGCGGTACTGGTAATTCTCCATCGTACGAATACTGCCACACTCAGAAGTACCAGGAGTACGAATAGCAAAGACTACCACTAGCAGCCTTCGTCTTGGTAAGTACAAATGAGGCAGGCCTATGTGACAGGTACGTATTTGAAGGTGCCTGCCGCCCGCTCAAGAGGGAGACTGCCAAGCTGATCGACATCAGCGTGCGCACGCAAGTTGCTGGACTGCTCCGCTCTTGTCGCTCATGAACGTGATTGTCAGCATCTGGCCCAGGGGCTAAAGTGAAGGCTTGGGGTCGAAGGCTGAAAGTATGTTGGTGGGCTAAAAAATGCCATAAGAAGCATGCACGAGCCAATGCATCACAGCATACGACGGAAAGTTAGTCTTGGGTGTGTGCGACTGCTGGGCATGTTGAATCATTGAACATGCTCTAGTCAGAGTAAGGTTAGGCGCTCACTGACGCACTGTTGCAACATTAGATACGCTATCCCTTCTCTACACAGCACGTGCGGCATTTTTCGCCGAAACGTGGAACGTAATCACCTGGTACGAAGAAGGATCTACAGCCTGTCTACAGCGCTTGAAGAGCCTTTCTTCGCGGAAGAGCCAGGGGATGTGGGCAGGCTATGAGACACCCAGCAGACTGGGTCATTCAGGACTGACTAACACACCTGCGAAGCGCTATGATGCCGCCTCTGCAGGTCCCACGTGATAATTGCCCGGGCTACCCCAAGGTGCGATACCCTAACGTCACTCTTTTCTCGGTCTGCACAACATGCGGGGGAGCTCAACGGCTACGGCAACATACGGAAATCCTGAACACCTGAATCCTCAACCTAAAGCACTTATACGAAGAATGGTCATTGCAAGATGAAAACAGAAATAATGATAGCAACAGTAGAAAAGCCCTAAAAAGATGACCAGTCAACTGCCCCCTTCCGCCAAGGCGAAGCCTCAGGCTGTCATACTTACTTGGATGGACTTCTGTCATCCTGAATCTGCCCCGGAACCGCTGAGGGCTAAGGTCTTAGGTTTAGCTTTATGTTGGGTGGTTCCAACAGTAATTTGGAAATGGCTTCAGGACACCCCTAGCATAATTGCGAAACTCAATATTTGAAGGACAACAACTAGACTCTGCATGAGGATGCCTCTGAACCGCTTCAGCAAACATGGAAAATAATCGCTTCCAGACACTGACTGTCTTTGATCGTAACCTTGATAGCAGGAAGAAAATCCACTTATACACCACTGGCTAGCAGCTAGCAGCAGCTGAGCACCCCGCGGACAGTGACGTCCTGCTGTCTTTCTGTATTCTACGGGAATGTCTCTAGGGACTATACAGGTTTTGTGGGGTGAAGCTGTTTTGTAGTTATAGGGTTCTGTGTGGAATGTGCACTGTTGTGTTCAGGTTCGCTGAGTGCAGCTTGTTTTCGTGGCGGCTGCCTTGCTGTGAGACCTCCGATGCATTACAAACTCACGGCCAGTGGGGGTTGCCTAAGATTATAGCATGTTGGGGTCTATATTGGGGTCGCATGTTTTGGGAAACTACCCGTGGGAGATCGAAACAGAAATTACTCTGTCGAGCCGTGCTCAGCAGGCTTGATTGACCAAGACGCAATATGAGGCTACAACTACAACCCTAAACCCTCAACCCTAAATCCACTCTTAGAATGGCCCCCACCCCGAATTTCATCTCAAGTTGAGGAATCTACGGTTTGAGAATGGGCGACATGTTGTCCAAGCCCCCTACCTAAAAATAGATGAGGCCACCAAGTAGCAAGGCGCAAGCTCTTTGGTTCTTAGGGTTTAGGGTAGGTATATTACACAAAACAATTGTTGTTTAGAACCGTAACTATACTATTGCCTGGTTATGACTTGGGTTTTCCCCTGGATCATCTTGGCTGGATCCTAAACACCGAACCCTGATCCACGAGCCCTTGCGCCTTCCCTTTTTGAAGAAGGCCCCCAAGGCCACCAGGTGATTCAGGTCCTTCAGGCGCAGCTTTTTTAGGGTTGTTTCAGGGGATCAGGAAGGATTGCAATGTCTCTTCTGTCTGCAAAAAAATGGTCCCAGGTTTCTGGGAGCTGGTTCAGAAGCCTAACTGGCCACCGCTCCAAATCTTGGGCGTTGAGGTCAGGGATTGCTGGTGATTGGGCTTTCAATCTGCGTCAGCCCCAATCGCCATGAGTCAAGAATTTGCGCCAACGTCACTCCAAGGACGCGGTGCAATAATCACACAAGTGATGCTCTCAATGGAACTTGAACAACTCATGCACCCTGAACTGGAAGGAGCCATTGCTGTTGCCTCGTCCTCAGCCAGCTCCGCCAACAAGGTGTGGCGCTTTGAGCCCTCCAGCCGGACGAAGGCTAGAAAAGCATTCTGGGTTGGGGCACGATGGCGTAGGCTGTCAACTGGCCAAAGAAACAGCAACTAGAAACCAATCAAGCATCTCAGCATGAAGCCTGTTCAACACCACCCTGGAGTGCAGGCCTTCGGCACGATGCCCACAGCCACTGCATGACGAGGTTCCTTACATCAACTCAGGATAAATGAGTTGATGAGGTTGTGCAGTTATATACATGGATAATGGGAAAAAGGAAACTTCTGCAGTAAAATGGTGGAAGATAGGGGCATTAATGTTGGGTCTTGTTGATTGCTATCATTGTAACTGCTACTATCATCACTATGAGTACTACCATATCAACTTAGGATAAATTAGCTTATTGTTGTCGTCGTACTTGTCCCGCATGATCATTAGTCATGTCATTAGCATTATGACTATTTGTTGCCATCGTTGTTATTGCTACTATTGTTGCTATTGTCGTTACCGTTACTGCCATCCGCATCATTATTGTTATGGATCGGAAGCTGCGTTCAGGTCTTCGGAGCAGTCTGAACTTCTATCAGTCATCGTCTATGACTTGGTGCCTAAGTGGTTCCGTTGTGAAGGGCCCCTAAACCGTCAACCCTGAACCCAAAACCCGTTTCAGGAAGGGCTGGGGCTTGGAGGTTGAATAAGGGCTCATTGCTCCTAGGCTTTCTTGCGGTATGTGATGCGGGAGTTTCCCTACATAGGGGAGCGCCCATATAGAACCCCAAATACTATCGTCCTTGTGATAGGGAACCCCAAAAGGGTGCCCATAATTTTGGGAAACCCCATGTTGGGGCAGGCTCTAGAGCATCGTGGGGGCACAGGGCTAGAAAGAAGAGCAACACTGAAGGACTCATGTTACTTTTTGCTCTATTACTCTATTACTATAAGATCATCACTGTTATTGTGAAGCCTATAAAAAGGAGCACACTCTATCGCAAGTATACAAGGAATCTTCGATGACCATGATATGGGTATCCTTGTTTAGGCCCCTGCATTACGACAACCCCCAGAAGCTCAGATCTCAAAGTGGGAAGTTGGAGGAAGAAGCCAAGCCTGAACTGAAACCCCTATGGGGTCATCCGAAAAATTAGGCTTCCGCCTTTGTGCGTTCTTATAGCAGGGACTATTGGTCACCGAAGAAAGGATCTGGGTCTCTGGAGAACCAATAGTACTACACGAGGATGAGACTAAAGTTGCGTGCCGCGTGATTTTGTAGATCTATTAATCTATAAGGATTACAAGGGAGGGATGATCTTGATAATAATTCGAATTTAGGATTTTAGAGGCCTAGGCTTCTAGGTGTGAAGGGTTTGGGGTTTTAGTGGGTTAGGGTTTAGGGGCAACTCTCTGGGGTGTCCCTGCTGCAAATATTTTTGGGATATGCTAAAGCAACCCTAGTCTTGAAAATGACAATCATTGTCTATCAATACAAAAAAATTTCATGAATAATACTACTAATACTAATACCCTGCTCTTGAAAGTAACACAATCATTGTCTATGAATACAAACAATGCTATAACTAATACTAATCGTTTTCATCATGAAAAAACCCTAAACCCTAAACCCGAAACCCACAAGTGCAGGCCGAGGGGCCATGTGGCGGTTGACGAATGCCCTTCCGCGATGTGTGGATGCTAAGGTGGACTCATATGTCTGTGTGATCATTTGTATATATATATATACACAGATATATGAAGAGAGCCAAAAAGGGAGGTCACCAGTGTTTTCATCCCATGTAAAAAAAAAAAAGGCTCGGATATGATCGGAAAAAGGCCAGGGCCATTCAAAACGTCAGTCCTAGGAATCCTCTAGCAACCCTTAATCCGGCCGGCAGTCGGCGGTTATCGACTGTCTCAACCGCAGTGGCGACCTAAAAACCCAAAACAAACACCAATCTCTCCACCCAGATTTGTTCAGCTAGCGTCCAGACAGTCTGAAGGCACCGACTCAAAGGAAATCCCTATCCTCAAACTCAACAGACTCCAATGAGGTCCCGAACAGCCCAATGAGGCCCGACGAAAAAAGCAAAACTGATACTGGGCCTCACCGGGTCATCGTCAGAGTCTGTCAGCGGCTCCACACTCAGGAGGCCCTGCCAGACAGGGCAAGAGCTGCCTAACCCTTACATGTCCATTTCTTCTCGATTCTCATTAATACCGCTAGTCAAACAATGATGGGTCCTTTGGGGTACAGGAGAATAGTCAGGTTTTGATCCGGTCTTCCCTGTGACATGCCTTATGCTCAGAAGCCTGCACACTGTTGTCGTTGATAACTCTTCAAGCCAACAATGGGCCTTTTGTGTACACTAGAAAATTGGAAGAAAAACAGGCCTGCTGGGTGCAAGAACCGAACCTATGACAGGTCCTTTGCAATCTTAGTGAGGCCTG